GTGCTTAGTGTAAATTAATTGTTCTATTAACTATAGGAGTTGAAATCATTACCTTAGGGTTTAGAATGGGTCGTGTGCTGAATTGAAGTGGATGGTGTTACGCTACCTTTTGCTACAAAGCGTGTGTGCCCATGAAAAGACCTGTTTAAAAATGTTTTATGAACTTAGGTGCTGTGTTTTTTTTTTTAAAAAAAAGGCTTATTGTTTATGTTTCAAGTTTGGAGGGGTGTTTGTTCCCAAGTATGGGGGGGGGGATTTAGAGAAAGGTGTCTTAATGTTCTACCCTGCGTTTTTAAAAAATGGTTATACATAGTTCGCTTTATAAAGGATACTTGGTAAATTGTATCTGTTTGATCATTGTATTTACAAATTAAAATATATTTGTTCATACTTAAGGTATAAGTACATGTTTATAAACATTAACAAGAGGATGTTTATGCGTATGTTTGTGTGAATGTGTATTATTTTCGTCTCTGTTCTTTCACTCTCCATAAAACCCCAAAAGATTGCAAGTCGACTGTTTTAGTTTGAATTCTAGTAAAAAATGTAAAAAAAAAAAAAGAATTATTACTTATGTCTGAATGTGTATATGTTCTAAATATAGTATAGGGCCTTGTTGTCATTATCACCTTAGGTCAAAGCTTACTTGCTCAAAGCATTTTCTCAGTTGGCAGTACAAATGAAAAAAAAAAGAGAGATAAGAAAGTGATTATGAAGAGCAAATATTGATGCATGGCTCAATAGCCCAGTTGTTTCTCTTTAATCTTTCCAATATTAATTTTTTTGAAATTTGATTTTTTGCTAAAGGTTTACAGGATATTAAGAGGACTTATGGGAATTGGTTGGGGTGGGGGGACTGAGACCTGTTTGTGAGGAAGGTGGGAGAGGGGGGGGGGGGGGGAGAGCACGGGGACCATTCCCAGACCCTATCTTATAAACTGTGGATCAATCTATCCCCAAGGGGATTCTCACTAAATTGCCATCAAATAAGCACTTTTGATGTCTGTCATGCCTACTGAAGCTGCTGGGGATTAATTAATTATCCTTTAGCAGCTTCAGTAGGCGTAGCAGACATCTAAGCTGCTTAAGCTGAAAGCAATTTAGCGAGAATACCCCTGAAGATAGATCGATCCTGTTGGATTGATCTAGGTATGGGAACCTAGTCATAGGCTCTGTTCCCATAGATTTTAGATCGATCTATCCCCGCGGGGAGTCTCACTAGATTACTTTCAGATAATCCGACTTAAATGTCCGTCCCGCCTACTACAAGCTGTAAGGGGATAATTAACTTTTGTGTCTGCCCAGCTGACAGCTATTTAGCGTGAACCCCCAGGGAGTTAGGTCGATCTAAAGTAGGTCGATCTAATCTATGGAAATGGGGTGATAGATAGAGATAGATGGAGTGCAAGGGATAGGCCATAATTATATTATTGGCAGCTTGTAAAACAAGATCATAGATAGATTTTAGATAGGTACACTAGGGCTAGACTGAATGCCACCAAAAACCTGTGCTATCGACTGAAGGAAATCCATTGTTACAGGCTCATAGCAGGGGGTTAGGGGTTTTTTAACCCTCCCCACCCCCCTCCTTTTTGATGGGATAAGGTCCCTTTGGGTTAAATTTTATCTAGGCACATGAAGGTTTCATGGCAAAAGGTCCACTTTTTTTTTTTTTTTTTTTTTTAAAGAACCCCCCTCTTGAAATTGCTGGCTACAGGCCTGTGTTGTAAAATCATTTCGATTGCACCTGCCTATCTCCAGTCCAGATGAGCTCTTGTCTCACAACACAGTCCATCATATTATATTGCCCCTTACATCTGATGATTGCTTGTTGATGATTAACTCATAAAAATCATGCATGACTTCATGCTATGACACCATGTGGTGTTTTTCTACGTGGCCACATTTACACACAGGGTTTGGATCTGCTGATTCAACCCAGGGTCGTGAAAGCGCTTCTTTTTTTAAAGGTAGAAATATTGTGCCACAAGGGTTTTCGGCTCATTGTGCAAATATCATGAGTTCGCATGCACTTATTGGTTGTCTTTTTTTTCCAATATAGGAGGACACTGACAGTTTTTCTTGATTTAATACAAAAAATGAGAAAAAATGGACAGACTTGTTACTATGGCTGATCTGAAAAAAAAAGAAAGGTTTTGCTGCTTGCATTAAAATTGAAAGAGGTGGTTGCTCCTTGAATATTTATTCATTTATTTAATCATGCATTTATTCTTTCATTCATTATTCATGTTTTTTGTTTTTTTTGGTCTCTATAATTTGCAAAATATTATGGAGGTCATTTTTTCTCTGTAAAATTCAAGGTGTACTTGGAAATAATGTCCTTCTTGACTTCTATCTGATGAGATTGATAAATCCTGTAAAGTTTGGTTTAATTGGCGCAATATCCGTATAAACTTTTCAGACAAGGAAGACTCATATAGTAAACAGGAGATCATTTATATAATGAATCTGAGTAAATGGGTCATTAGAAGATGTCTTTGATCTAGATTTCAGATTTGTAGTAGTAATTAAGGTAGCAAGGTTGCTCGTTAAAAACGACTTTTTTTTTGTAGATAATTATCTGAAATTAATGTTGCCCTTTTTAAGAGGAGATTGAATCAGTATTTCTCTTAGTTTTTGTCATTGGAAAATAATGAGGTGAGAATTGTTCCAAATTTATGTATGCTGGGTTTCCTTTTTACACATTATATTTCTTTTTAAGACTTATTTTTCTGCGCGGCTTGAAATTTCTAACTGTCATCGACCATTGTAAAAGACCCTAAATTCAAAGTAGCAGTTCTTGAAATTGTTGGAATAAAAATTTTACCGACCATGATTGGTAAGGCAGACAGCTTTAGCAAGGTTGTTGTAAAGATATAGATTAAAGGGATAATAACTCTTCATTTCAGCAAAAAAATGAATTTTCCTGGAGTAAACAACAATTTTCCCATACTAACCAATGGGTAATGAATCCATTTTTACATTCAAAGTTAGTCCCTGGTTTTTTTCTAAAAAGTTTGGTTTTTTGTTAAAATCTCTTAAGAGATTTTAAGAGAGTATAGCCATTAATGGAGGTCACGTGGTCTAAAGACAAGCTCAGATATCAGAATAATAGCTCTAACTGCTGTTTTTGTGGTAAAACAGAATATATTATATTTCTATGAGTTATTCACAATGTTTTTATTGTGAAATATAGATCTCATACAAAGAGTTATTATCCCTTTAAATGAAATTAAATTGTCTGCACCAACATCTTACAAACCAACTGCCCTTTCCTGTCTTCCATGGTCTGAGCATATGCTATTCAAAAGCTAGTAACGGAACAAATTTAGCAGTTTTACAAGATGGACTTCAATTTGGTAGCATTTGAGATAAGGGGGATAGGGCAGTGTAAATATGTCTGAACTGTTCCATTCCAAGTCCAGTAGGAATGCACCCAAAGAGTGTGTAAACCACCCAGATGTATCTCTAACAAATTTAAAGTGGACACGCTATCTACATGAAGTATTTCTCAAGTGAATCTTTTTTTTTTCTTTTTTTTTTTTACCCTTGGAAATAAAACTGAAAGAGAAGCATGCCAAGGAAAGCAAAAGTCACCTGTTGTGCATTTGCAATGTTAGATTTCCACTTTCTGTTGTGAAAAAAAATTCTAAGTAAGTTTTTTTAACATAGGAATAAAGGAGCCGATTCATACAAAACCTTTAACCCAAAAAAATGAACCAAATGCTATTATAACTTTTACCCAAGCTAAATAAGCAGTAGTCCAAATAAGTTGAACTGAGTACGACCAAATGTTTGTCCTAATATTATTATTATTTTTTTTTTAAATTTTATTTCATAAAATTTTATTTTTTGGTCTCAAATTTATTGGTATAAGTTCTTTTAGGAGACTGGCCCAAGTACATTTTTATGTATAGGGTCACCTTTTAAATCATTTTGAAAAATAATTTTTTACCCGAAAATTGAGAAATGGATAAGCAGATGAACAAGTATGCATGTATGTATATATTTAGGTAGATAGATAGAATATCTTTTTCTGTCCTAGGCTGAGAAATGACATCAATTGGTTTGCCTTGCAAAAAATAAAAATATGCAGGCAGTAATTAAAATATACATTGCAACAACATGCGGGCACAGTAAAATATATTAATCATAGTTGGCTAGAACCTTTGCCATTGACATTTCCTTCATCAGCTGAACGAAGGGGCTATATTTTATGGACAAAAATTGCAGTGATCAATATTTCTTGATAATTTTATTTTTTATGCAGGTAGCATCTGGTAGCACTAACGCTATATACTTACTTATAATTTATTTTATCTTGCAAAGAGTGAATGATAATATAATGGTACAGGTATGTGTTTTTATCTTTGTGAGGAGCATATTTATTTTGCCTTTGATCAAACACACAGTCCAATTCAACGAGGAGATATAGCTACAATGGTAATTTTTATTTTACAGTTATAGTATACAACCGTGTGCATGTGTAGATGATAAAAGTTTTGTAGATTATGGGAATGATTCAAAAATATTCTTAATAGTAAGTTGAGACTGTTTTTCAAATACATGACTTTATTAGTAAAAAAAGAATAAGAGTGGCTGAGTTCCTGTTGCTGAAGTTTCCAATTTGAAGTGATATTAGAGTAGAATTGAAATTAAACTGAAAATTTATGATGTTTAGATTGAGACCAGGAATGAATTGCTTTGGAAGCATGACTTTGCTAGGGTTTTATGAACATTCTTTTTTTTTAATGATAAGACATGTGAATTATTGTTTGCTGTATACATCCAAAAATTTTTTTTTAAATTTTGTGTAAGGAGAATTGAGACATTTTTCAGTCAGACTTACAGACAAATTACACATGTACACACATTCATGCTCACTGTTTTCAGATGTATGGCACATGGAGTCCATAAGCCAGCACATATAAAACAAACTTGATCTTTTTACACAAATTATATGTATTTTATATTCATGTCTCTTTTTTTCATCTTTCCAGGAGGGATGCTCTACTGGAGGCTCGTTGGGCAATCTTCCCGCCACCAGTGATGTCCGTAGCAACAGCCAATCCCGAATCAACATCGCACTACATTGACAATAATCTAGGACATCCGCAAACAGCGACGCAGCAGAATGGCTACAATGAGGCCAGTTCGATAAAGCAGCTTTTAACCAATCACATTCGCAGAGATTTGACCAATCAAACAGCAGGAGGATTGGAAAGCCAACACATACAGCAGACGACAGCACATCGTAATCTAGGCGAAGTAAACGGAGAAGCCCAGTTTCCAATTGATGCTAAGCTAACAGCCAGTCAGATCTTACGGGATCAACCTGTTTATGCCAGCAGGGAGTTGATCGAAAGTAAGCTAGCACGCTCAAGTCTCTCTCCGCCACATACGCAGCCCCCGTTACATCACCAACAACCTTCGCCGACTCAGTTACCAAGGCTGGTGCCACACTTGCTGTCACCCCCTCTGGGCCCGACGGCAATTCCAGAAGGACAGATTCCATTGTCACCAGTTCAGCAGCCATCTTTAAGTGATTTACAGCTCAGACCTCCTAAGCAGCCTGAGCCTTCTGATTTGAAACAGTTTGATGTCCCGGAAGAAGCTCTGCCTGATGAAAAAGCCAAAGAGGACCTCATAAGTCAAATCGTAGAAAGTCAATTGGCCAGTCATAGATATCGTGATCATGCTGCTTTCGCAAGCCAGCTCGTAACACCGCCACAAATTGCAGGTGACTCTGGTGGACCAATTGGAGAGAGTCCAGTCAAGAATCCTGAAACAGCCGAGGCTCCAGCTTCCCCTTCTCTCAGCCAAAGTGTTGCTGAAACCAAAGACGAAACAACTATAAGTCCTACGACATCAACTGTTGTAGACCAACAGCCATTGCAAGACAAAGAAATGCCACAAGACAACCAAACTCTACCTCAAGGTCAGGGACAGGGTCAAGTTCATGACCTATCACCGCCATTGTCAAACACCAGTGTCCAGGAAGCTGCTGCTGCACCACAGCAGCCTCTGACACCAGGGGGTGTTGTTAGTCCCAGTACAAGCCAGTTCCAAAGTCCCGACCACAGCCTTCATTCAGGCATGGTACCAAGCCCATCGAAAAGTGATGGACAACTTGTGATTGACATGAACCAATCAGGTGGTGATTTTAATCGTTCTAATGCCTCCATTGCCAGCGATGACCTGTCGGACAACGAGGGTTATGTGTCGCAGTATACTCCCATAATGCCCGGTGATGCAGGGGACCATGGTTCTAACGATGGTTTTGTTTATCATTGCCATCTTTGCAGCTACTCAGGTGAGTTAAAGAAAAAGATGAAATGGGCTTTGTCAGCTCTTTATCCAATGTTAACTATGTTAAACCATGCCATTTGTTAGTGGTTTTGTTTATCATTGCCATATTTGTAGCTACTAAGGCTAGTTCAGAAAAAGAGAAGATGAGCTTTGTCACCTCCTCATCCAAAGTTAAACCATGTCCTTTGAAACTTCTCCACAGATAGATGAATTCACATTTCTTCATTTATGCCGAAATTTAAGTCTGCTTTGACCCAAAATAAATCAACAGGAGTCCATTTAAGTGAAATATAATCCCCATTTTACTACAGTGAAAAGAAAAAATACAAAATAAGACCATTTAAGACCAATAACCATTTAAGGCCAATGGTTGCTTTATTATTGTGAACTACAGTGTAGGAAGTAGAACAAATTTTGGTCTAAAATTTATGACCAGGTTTAGGTCTAAAGTTAATTTGTGAAACGGGCTATTATTGAGATAGATCATATCAAGTTTTTGGAACTGAGCCTTTATGTAAAGAGAAACCCTCTGTTGAGATAGGTTGTATCAAGTTTTTTGGAAATGCGCCTGTATTTAAAGTGTGTGCATGACCATTCGCAGGTTTTAACACCAGTTTTGTCCTCTGGATACACAACATCTTCTAAAACTGTCAACACATTATTTTCTGTCTGTCAAATTCTTATTTGCAAGCTTGCCTGTTTTACCAGTCTGTTGCTTTGTGAAATAACAAAACATGAGGGCCTCTATGATTATAAACTCTTTTAAAAAAACATCCTTAGATCTCGGAAATCAAAACCAAAAAATGGTTTTGAAAATGTCTGACAAGATGCTGGTTTTGTCTGTCTGTAAATGGAAGCCTGGAGACTAAAATGAACACAAGATGAAATTATCTCGGTAGATTTTGTATTTGGAAGGAATTAGTTCCTAAAGCTCTGTTGGTCAGCAAAATGAAAAGAATGTTTCTCTCCTGTAAGTATCCCTTTATATTTATGAAATAAGTATTCTCATGTGCTAACTACATGATAAGTTTTCTTTTAAAAAATGGCCTATTTTTTTTATAATAATGCATGTTTGATTACTTTATTTATTTTTGTATACTGGTGCTCATGTATTATTATTAATTTGTTTGAAATATCAGTACATTTCATGTAATATTGAATTATGAGTGCTCCACAATTTTGGACACAATTTCTTCAGAATTTAGTAGCTATCTGGGTTCTAGTGGATAGTACGGTTGTGAACTTTGCATCTTGGTCATCTTGGGCCCCTTTCACATCCTGCTTTGCACATTTCGGTATTGAAACACTTATGGATATTTACAACTTAATATCCTGGCATAAGAGAGTCACTTAAACAGAGCCCAGGGCCCAGTTTTATAAAGGACGTTTAGCACTAAACAGTGGATAAGCCTAACCAGTGGATAAATTCTCCTAACACCTATTAACTAAAAGATGGTTAAATTGTGTTTCACATACAGTCTTCTGAAGGAAAACAGCCAATTAATTAACTGGCCAGTGTTTAACTGGATTAAATAATTATTTAAAGGTCAGTTAACTAACAGACTGTTTAGGTCTGGTTGGAGTTAAACACTGGTTAGTGCTAAACGTCCTTTATAAAACTGGGCCCAGGGGTGTTTAAGATGACCAGTAAAACACATCAACTTTGAAGGGTCCTCCAGTTGAAAGCAAACATGTGAAAGGGATGGAAACCCCCCACTCCACCCACCCAAAATTTGAAACTATACTTCTTAAGACCAGTCTGAGGGCTCATTCACATTGAAACTATCGGTCTACGTAGATCTGTTCAACTCTGTAGGGACTCTCGTTGAATGCAAGCGGTTTAACAGATAAAGATGCACCCTCGAATACAGAAAAGTAGGTTGGGACACAGAAATCTGTTAAACTGATTGCATTCAGCTAGAGTCCACACAGAGTTGGGTTGATGTACATAGATTGATAGTTTCAATGGCCCTAAGTGATTTGATACCAACACATGTAAGGCACCATATAAAAAGTGCCTTAGATTATCTGGTTCAGTGGGTTGCTCTTATTGACCCAGTTCAAAACCATGCTCGCTATTATTATCTATAATTACCAAAGCTACCATGACCAGGGCTTTATAACCTGCATAGCTTTTTCTAACCTGAATATGTGTCTGTTTTTTATGTAGTAATAATAATAGCAGCAATTTTTTTAAAGTATTGAAACTGTTGTTTACCTCCAATAGTACGCTTATCCATCTAGAGCATCATAGGCTACGAAATATCAAATGTAAACAACTTCATTACTAGCTATTGACTTAAGAAAAAATTACTACTTTGTTCATAACAGAAGCTCTTTCAATATGTCTGTATTCTTCTTTTCAGGTACATCACGATTCCACTTTAACGCTCACATGAACAGTCATTTTGAACACCAGTGTCCACACTGCGATTACACGAGCCGCACAGAAGGGCGGTTAAAACGCCACATCAAGGATTTTCATAGCTCCGTACCTCCTGACAACTACTCAGGAAATCGCATGCTGCGCACAGTGCAGAATCGCCCCAAACTATACCGCTGCAAACAGTGCGAGTTCGTAGCTCAAACTAAGGTAAAACACACTTTATTTGTTTTGTTAGTTTATGTTTATAAACTGCTTCATTCGGTGTGTCTGTTTGAATTAAATGTTGTTCACTATAAAGTTAGAGGAACAATTTTCATGCTCATATGAATGGTAGCAAGCAGCATGGCTGCCTTTAAACTAGATTCTGTTCACTGTATAAGTTGACCCATTTTATTGGTCATGAAGTTTGTTCCTGAAACTAAGACCCCATTCCCATACTTTGATTGATCCAGCAGGATCGAGCCGTCTCCAGGAGGTTTCTCACTAAATTGCATTCAGCTTAAGTGGCTCTGATGTCGTTCAACAGCGCCGGTAGGTTCACCAGACATCTAAGCTACTTAATGCAATTTAGCAAGAAACCCTTCTGAAATGGGTCAATCCTGCTAGATCGATTTAGGTATGGGAATGGGGTCTAAGACCCCAGTCCCATAGATTTTAGATCAATCTATCCTTGTGGGGAGTCTCACTAGATTACTGTCAGCTTAGCCGGCTTAAGTGTCTGTCCTGCCTACAAAAAGCTGTAAGGGGGTAATTAACGATGGTGAGGACTCGGCTAACTGCAATTTAGCGTGAACCCCCAGGGAGTTAGGTCGATCTAAATCTAAATCTCTGGAGCGATCTAAATCTCTGGGAATGCACCCTAAGACAAGAACCAGCTCTTTGGCAAATGATCTTGTTTCCCTTCTTAAGTTTAAAACCAAAGGATCAGTGACGTTGCTTGGTTACTGTTTCTGTGGCATAATCCTCTCCTCAGTCTCTAAATTCTTCCTGAAATATAAGCCCTGTCTTTATTTGCAATAATATTTGTTTCATCTTGGGTGGTATATGAAGAATGAGCAGGTGGAAAGTACACTGGTAAAAAGGTAAAAATTTGAGAATTTTAAGGCATTATTTTTACCTCTGCCAAGGAGGTTATGTTTTCACCCCTGTTTGTCTGTCTGTCTGTCTGTTTGTCATCAACATAACCTCAGGGTAGGTGGAAAATAGGTTAACTTAGAAGTGATTAGTTTTTGGTGGTGATCCGGATCAATAATCAATCAATAATCAATAATAATCAAAAATCTCTGCCTTGGCGGAGGTCTGCGCTCTCAGAGTGCTTTTCTAGTATTTTCAACATATTAGTGTATATTACCAAGTGTATATTTTATATGATCATAAATTAACACTCAAACCTAGATAGAAATTACTTCAAATCTTAATGTATAGAAAGATAATTAAATATTTGTGATGGAAAATATCAGTAAGTAAACATAAGTAAACATTTGCGATGAAAAAACAGTGGGTATAATTTCTACATAAAACAAAGCAGAGCAAATATCAAGGTCACAGAGCTTGGCTTCTGCAAGTGACAATTTTTTTCCCATAAAGTCAAATTTAGGTTGTTAATTGCCCTTACTGATGTGTTATCAGGGATAAATGTATTTAAACATTTTCTACAGCAAAAAATGCATTTTCCTAGCTCACATGTTGGGTGTCTGATCCAGCATGCAGTGATAGTAAAAATTTTCATTGTTGTATATTTTTGATTACTGTATTGTTTTGTTTGGTTTATCACACTTTTTTGTGAGTGTTGACATGATTATTAATTGATTCACTGAGTTATATCTGTTGTTCAGTACATTGGGAATTGTTGTTGAATGTTACAATAATTGATAATTGTGATAAGAGAAATCGTATGATCTACTTATCTTGTCTAACATATGTCACTTGATGTCCTGAATTTTGCATCTCAGCATATCTTGTTTTTCTGTCATTCTGTTTGAGTTGAATTGATCATTTGATATCTATTTGAAGATAGTGATGAATTCTCTCTCTGTCTATCTCTCTTGCATGCACACACACACACACGCACACACACATACACACACACACACACACACGGTCTCTCTTTTTCTATCTTACACTCTCTGATCTCTCTCTCTCTCTCTCTTTCTTTCACTCTCTCTTTCTCTCCCTCTCTTTCTCTCTCTCTCTCTCTCTCTCTCTCTCTCTCTCACACACACAACACACACACACACACACAGAATAGTTTGGGCAGCCACAAATAAATGCATTCTATCAATCACTTTCCTTCATGTAAAGTACACATGACAAAACGCTCCCCCCTGACTTTTTTATCTGCTTGTAAAATATATTATGATGAATTATGCATTTGTCCTCTATAGTATATGCATGGTCCCCCCATATATCACCGCTAAATAGGCATTGAAAGAAACATACCGCAAGTTTTTGGTCACATGGGAGTAGTTTTCATGGTGCCGAGGTCATACATAATGGGAAAAGATAAAGATGTTTTTGCGCTATAAAAAAAGAAAACAACCCGACGTGACGAAGATCATGAATGGCAAAGTTAAATGAAATGATTGGAATGTAAAGGGAGGTATAGGGGAGATTGGAGTTTGTAGGAAATGCTGTTTGTTTTAGCCCATGTTCAGACTAGAACTGATATGGATTGAAAGTGGGTCCTAAATGGAGTTTTAGTAGATTAGAGTACTTGGGATGCAGCCACGTGTCTCCATAGTTCTGGTCTGATCGTGACTGATTTTAAAATATTTTAAGTTGGTATTTAATATCCTTAACATGGGGAAAATGCATCATTCCGCTGACTTTTTGATATCTGGAATGAGATGAAAAGGAAAATAAAAGCTTGCTAAATGAAAATTGACATAAGCTTTCTTAGTATGTAATTGCACCATCGAGTCCTTTGGGTATGATCTGCCCACGTTTAACACGAAATGTTTCCTTGGGTCTTATTGCTTTAAAAATGCCATTGAAATGTCCTTATTTCAAGAACTTTTGTTTCAAATCTTTCCGATTTGTTTCCAATTAGTCTACAGAAACTTTATCCTCAAGTAAGGGAATTCCCCCTCCTCTGCGAAAGGTGCATTCTTATAAATTGAAACTAAAGAAATGCATCTCACTTTTCATTTAGCGTAAAGGCTTGCACAAAAGCTTAAACCCTGGCTTTAGCCAATGAGAAAAAAAAATGATTTTAATCCTATTTGGTGGGTCATTTTGATTTTGTTAGTTGATAATATGATGGTCATTGATAGCTTAAAAGAGAGTTATGAGTGCCTGATTGTGGTAAAACTACAAGTAGCAGTTATAATAGTTATGAAAAGAAGTCGGAAATTTGCCAAAGACATCAGGCCTTTCTGTACATCAAACATTATCCCAGTCCTCAATAATTTGAGAGATACCACAATCTAAAGCCTCCGGGAACACGGTTTTCTTGTTTTTCACCTAGAAATCCCCAGTAACTTGCCAAACTAAAGTATTTGGTGCCTCCATTACATTATTCCACTGACCAATGAATAGAGATCAAGTTGAAGGGGTCACGTTAGTATTAGGCCATGGGGTTAAGTGTACTTGTGGTAAGGATTTTGTTGGTAGTGGAGAGGTGGGGGGGGGAGGTTTAAGTTACTGGAAAAAAAACATTTGAACCTAGAGCATGTTTGGATAATTTGAAAATTAAGTCATCAATAAATGATAATTTCACAAATTTTCAGAACATGCCATGAAGCAATATTAAATGATAGAAAATAAATAATAGTACACTAGTTTTAAAAATAAATTCTGGTAAGGGTATCATAAAGTTTGGTGGCTGATTTTGTGACAGATCAGGTTAGAACCAAAGCCCAAAAATTGGTCTTAATATTTACATAAAAATGTCTTCAATATCTGTTCATAATAAATTCATGACACTCACTTAAATTAAGTAATTGCTGCCATGTCATGTATTTACCATATAATTGTTCTTGTTATTAATTAGCTTCCATGTTTCACACAATTTGCACAATTTCTGATTAACTTCCACTGCATAAATGCTACTGCTACTGTAGTGCCCCCTATACTTCACTTTAAAAACTAACAACTGGCTTTCCAGTTCTAGGAAGGCTTCATCTTATTACATGCACATGAGATGTTAACCGCATGAGGTATTTTGACCTTTAAATTCTGTCGCATTGTGCATTTGAAAGTCTGAGGTTTCAGCAGTCACTGGAGCCTCGATAAAGCTCACGCAAAAAAAAAATATAGAAAGCATTTGATTATAAACCTAGAAAATTAAGCTCACCCAAGACATTGATGATAATGTAGTGAAAATTTGTTTATTTTTAGATTTGTCACTTGGAGTAGATACCAACCTACGTAACAAGATGACAAAATCCTCCAGTGTTCAATATATCCTATTAACACGCGAATTGCAGGTGTATTTCTAAATAAATTCCTGGAAACACACCAGGAAACACATCAAAAGTAAAAAAAATATTATGGTGTTAAAAAAATACCCAACTGATATATAATCATTGTTATATATATATATATATATTGAAAGTAAAATTGTTTTTCCCTGTACGAGTATATATATATATATATATATATATATATATATATATATATATATATATATATATATATATATACTGGAAATNTTTTCCCTGTACGAGTATATATATATATGTGATAATAAGAAATAAAAAACAGTAGTTATTTTACCTGACCAGTTTCATTGCATCTTCAGGGGGTTTTGAAAAAAATATATATATTTCAGATTGACTTCTTGGAACATGCCAGACCTACACAAGAGACCACACAATTCTGCAGTGTCAAATTGCCAAATTGATGTATAATCATTTTTGTATATATTTTTAGATTGACTTCTGGGAGCATGCCAGGACTCACATAAAAGATGACAAAATCCTGCAGTGTCCGAAATGTCCGTTTGTCACGGAGTATAAGCACCACTTAGAGTACCATCTGAGAAACCACTTCGGTTCCAAGCCCTTCAAGTGCCTGAAATGCAACTACTCTTGTGTGAACAAGTCCATGTTGAATTCCCACATGAAGTCGCATACCAACATATATCAGTATAGGTGAGTTATTACTCAAGTTAAAAAAAATATATATTGTAAAATTTTTACTTTTTCCAGGATTCATCATTTTCAGACACTTGTTCAGATATCTGATGAGTTATTAGTCAAAAAATGACAAAATAATTGTAATATTTTACTTTGCTTGGATTCATCATTTGGATTCATCATTTTTTCGATCGTACTCATGTTTCAGTATAGGTCAGTTATTTCTCAAAAATTGAAAAAAAAAAAATTCAGACACTTACAGCAATGTAAAATCTTTGGAAATGGGGTCCTACAGCAATGTATTTTCTGACACAAAATCATATTTAGGAAATAATTTTGAAATCTCTATTTAATTTCAGGTGTAATGACTGCAGCTATGCCAGCAAATACTGTCACTCCTTGAAACTTCATCTACGCAAATACAATCACAAGCCGGCCACCATTTTGAACATTGATGGCACGCCCATGGAGGACGGAGAAACCTTCCCCCCAAGGAGAGGGCCACCGCGGGGACCGAGAGGCCCACGTAAGGAGAAACAGGGACCCAGCAACCAGAACATGCCTTTGATGCTCAATCCTCAACTGGCCGGCTTGGTCCGCCCTCCTTTCCCTGGGGGCCAGCAGATGATGAACGGAATGATGCCGTTTTGGCCCATGATGCCAGGGCATATGGCCCCCAATGGCATGCCAATGGCACCCCAGGGCATCCCACTTCATATGGCACAGAAGTTGCCACCCGGCATGATTCCGATGCCAGGGATGCCAGGAATGCCACCTCAGCTCCACCCCCAGCAACAACAGCAGCAGCAGCACCCAATGGTGAAGCAGGAGCCGGGAGTCATTCAATGCGGAATTTGCGAGTTCACGACAGAGTCCCAGTCCGACCTCAGCACCCACATGCTGAAGGTGCATGCGGCTGAGAACCAGGATCTTTTCAGTGCATTCGGCCTGAACAGCGACTCCTTCACCGCGGAACAGGCGCGCCAAGAGAAAGCAGGGCTCCTACCACCAGCGGCTCACAGTAAGCACTCGCCACAGGGAGCAGCACCTTACAGTCAAGTGAAGCCTCCCCAGCTGCCTCAAATGAGCCCAGGGATGATGCAGCATTCGGCCATGCCACCAAAGGCCAGTCCATCCCAGATGTGGATGATGAACGGAGGACGACCTCCAATGCGACCCCAGGTGACCAGCGCTCCCACAGCAGGTGCTGGTGTGCTGGACCTGAGCGGGAAACTGGTGACTGGTGATAGGCAAGGAGAGCCAAACACCAGTGGCGCAACAGCACGGCCTCGCAGTGGACACGGTAGTGAAGAGGCACCGCTTGACCTCTCGGCACCGAATGCAGCACCACCTGGAAGGCAGGAGTATTACAATGCCTACATGCCTATTGCTGGGAGAAAGCGCCCCATTCAGCTGGTAAAAGCCAGTGATGGAGAGTATGTACAGGTGGACAGGTTCCAAAATGGAGAAGCTGAACCTGAAAGTGTTCCAAGAAAACGGTCACGTAAGGGCAAGGCATTCAAGTTGGACAAGCTGTGTCTTAAGCTTCAAGAGAGGGCAACCGATTCCCCAAACTCCTATGGTTCCAACGAGGACTATAGCTCTGATGGTTATGTGGAAGACAACACCCAAGATGGCGCCAGTGCAGAAAGCCCCCCAAACATCAGCAAACCTGTAGCTGAGGGCGACCTCAATGAGATCCATAACAGCCTGAGGCAACTAAACAGTGAGTCCCCAGTTGAAAACAACCTTCAGAATCAGTATGTCAAGGTCTACCACGACGGTGAAGAAAATTCGATGCAGTCCTCGGGCAACATGAAATCTGAGCAGAACTCGGATGAAATGGACAGATCAAGTCTTCAAAATGGCTACACCGGTGAGGCAAACGATGATGAAGTTGGTGAAGGTATCGATTCAGGCAGGTACAATTACGAATGTCCATACTGCGATATACTCTTTGCAGACTGTGTCATGTTCACAATGCATATGGGTTACCATGGATACTCGGACCCTTACAAGTGCAACATGTGTGGCTTTGAGGGCAAAGATAAGGTGGAATTTTTCATGCATATTGCCAGGAATGCTCACGAAGAGCAGGAAAACCAGAATGAGACTGAGTAAGTTCTACGAATATAGCAGAACACGGGACATCGACACCAGAAAGTCTCCCATGTTTCTTATTACAGTTGGACAGGACCTTTTTATTTAGAACGGGCCAAATTAAAGAAGAGAGAGCTTTTCAGTGGAGAAATTTTGTTTTGTGAGAGCATATTGCAGTCATAAGAAAGAATAGGCCGCCGTACTACCCATCATCTGGGTTTGTAATTGTCATCAGTGACTGAAATTGTATGTAACAAGACGAGTGGAAGAAAAAAAAAGATTTTACCAAAGTAGCAAGAGTGTTCCCAAAGGACTTTAAGGTTCTGCTGACCTTTTCTGGATGCTTTAAACCACCTTATTAGAGTGCATAGGACATTTTAGCGTAATTTTGAGGTGGGACATATAGGAATAATTTTGTGATTTACTTGTATAGGTGAATGATGACAATGACCATGAAAATGATAGTGATAGGGGGCAGCAGTGTTCCCAACATCTTGCTAGGGGGCAGCAGCGTTCCCAACAAAGTATATGTTTTGCCTTAATGTTTGTTTTAGTTAGTAGTTTGGGAACTGTGTATTTAGTGATAGATAATTGGTGGGTTAATTGGATATAATGTTCCTGGATATATGGATATATTAGTTCTGGATATTCAGATTGATATGTGGATATGTTGGTCCCAGATATCCTTCAGGATATGTGGATAAGTGGATATTTAATTGGATATGACCCTGATAGGTACATCACTCAAACCATATATGTTTGTAGCTACAGTGTTTTCCATATATGCACTGGTGACCATATAAGGCATGAAGCCTCGGCCATTCTCCCAAATAAGGCATGTTTCCAATTAAAAATCTACTTCATCATACTAACGAAGAAAGCAGATTTTGGTGAAAATTTATTTCCTGTTTTAAAATTTGGAAATATCGAAACATCATTTTGAGGAATTGAAGTAGTGGTATATGGGAACTGTGATGTACCTGACTTATACCAAAGAAATCCACACAGTCTTAAGTGATTCTTAATCCATGCAGCAGCAGCAAATGATATCAAGTATTATGATTGGATGTTATTCCACTATTTTTATGAAATGAAGAAGCACTGAAAAAGCTCTTCCTTATATACCTTAATATATATATATATATATACATATCTGTAAATGAATAATTATAGTTATATATAATAAAAGTAGCAGATGTTTTAAAAGATTTAAGGGCAGCCAACCTTGACCTTGACCCATATATGATTAACTCTTGAAGGTCATATGTCCTTGACCTTAAATTTTCAGGTTATATCCTCTTGCCAGTTTCAAGGCTGTGCTTGTCATGACAATCAGTCATTTTGGCAGTTAACTCCATTTGAGAAAAATACTGAAGTTGGGGTCCACTAATTGTACAACATGGGGTCTTATGATGGATTGGAGGGTACAAGACACGAGTGCGACCCTAAGCTTGTGTTTTGTAAATCAGTTTTCAAGTTTTTCTCCAAGTAACAAGAGTCTTTTAAATATACTTGTATAAATGTTATGGGTAGTATAATAGATTGTATAGGTTATTAATTGAATGTGAGTAACACATATTTAACTTTTTTTCATTGTTGAATTTTTCAATTCTTTTTTTGTGTCTCAGGTATGTTTGACGTATACGACACCATGTAAAGATGTGGACGTTTTGTAAACCCTATAGTATTATCACTATTTTAAAAATACACTGCACATTGGGAAAATTTCACCTTTGTTTTGCAGTGCTAGAAATCTTGGTGAAGTGGAGGTTCACAATGTTGTGAATAGAAAGGGGATAAGTGCAACAAAGGAGCTTATGCAAGGAGTTGTGGAAGACCATGGGTTCCAAAATTTTAATTAAATATTGATTAAATAATATTGATATTAATTTGGTTGCCTGTCACTGGGTATATCAACGCCAAGTCTGATTTTAATTTAATGATAAGAAACAACAAGCGATTGATATAGGTATAGATGGATTATTCATGCGTCCTTAGGAATTTAAAATTATTTTCCTTAAAATAGACTGATTTGAAGTTGAATATCATTTTTATTGGTCTTCTGGAACTCCTTGTTTTCAATGATTAGTGTCTCTATAAATATTATTGTGTAAATGTTTATCATTTTAAAGGGAATCTTTGGGGTCCTTGGTATCTATATATGTTTTCAGGAGAGCTGTAGCTTGGTTGTTTTTTCCCAGTATTATTAATGTCTACATATAATTATACGCTCTTTAAGAAGACAAGTGCTTTAAAAAATCTACCTCAAAACCAAAGCTAATACTTCAGAGTTGTTGTTTGCTGTATCTGAAAAGTTTGTCACACAACCACACACATTGCAACAGGTCTTGAACGTGTGAGAAAGATCGATTCTCGGCATTTTGATGGGGCGTTTAGGTAACACAGTCTTAACACTTTTGAGATACAGCAAGCAGCTGAATTTTATACGTCTATATATATATACATTATTAAAAAGTCTGAAAGGGATTTATTTCTAAAATATTTGATATATACCCTACTCTTCCAAACCTACCTCACGCCTAACAGTTGACTGCAGAATATTTCCAAAATGAGATGATTATAGAAAGAATGGAATGAAAAAATGGGTTTGTGGAGATGAAACAATATTTTACCTTGTTTTTAATGCAAAGGACAAAGAGCAGCTTTAAAGCGATTGGAAATGCTTTAAAAATAACATTCAGAAAAAATGTTTCTTGGAATCAAGAGGTACCTCAGATGAATGTAGCATATTACAATATTATCATAATAGTTATAATATTTATGTCCATCTGTAATTACTATTCTTCTACAATGATGATGATTATGTGATTATTATATGTCTGGGTATATAAACATTAACGTGGTGATTTTTTTTGTTGAAAAGGAGGGATTTTGTCTTGAATACCAAAGGAGAAAAAAAATTGAGCTCAATTGTGTAGTACCAAAACAGGCGATCGTGATATATATTTGAAGCGAGGGTCTGTGTGTGGGCGGCAACAGCTCCGTTGTTATCTATTCAAACTCAGGGAATTATGATTGAATTTGATTGACTTTTTATTGTTTTGATGTATGTGTGTATATAAGTATATATACCGAAATTAAAGTGTAGATAGAAAATTAGCAGTTGATTACATAATTTGATAGCCAAGAGGTACGAAGAGGTATGTCGATTTTACATTTTCTCCACACTCATATTATAGTCTGTGGAATAGATGTTCCTATCCAAGGTCAAATGAAAAAAAGAAGTAACACAGCGCGACCTAGTTTACTGAATCCGGGTCACCATGACCCAATTAAATCCAGTAGATTCTCCCTGGCATTTTTTTAATAGGCAGATCAGTGGCAGAAACTATTTCAATAAGGCTAGTTAAATAGAATAAATAGATATTTGATAAAGGTTATGACTATTTGGTATAATGTCATGTATGCTAAAGAGTGTCAGTTAATGTGAATTTTATAATAATTATTATTATTATTTGGTAATTCAGTGCTTTCTTGAAATCATTGTTTTGGAGGAAATAACATACTTTGTCAATGAAATGAACTTTTTTGGAATTTAATCAAAATATACATATGGTTAGAAAACATAGCCAACTGTCAGGCAAGGAAAATGGTGTTATGCCTATGCAGCATTTATTAAAATTAAGAGGGTTCTCAAAGAAATGTTAACACTATTCACACTTTTTTCTAGTGAAAAGGCACTGATTTCACCAGTTGTATGTACCAGTATAATTCAAATTTGTCTCTTCGGAAATGTTAACTTGTATAAAATTGGTGTCATTTTTTAATATTTTGGAGGTTGGATGTTAATACATGGATGGATTATTTGGGTTTTTTATGCTCCTTTTGTTTTCTTTTTTTTAACTTGACACTGTTTAGTTCTCATAGCACGGAGTACCAGTTTACCACAGAGGCATCCATGTTAATACTCTCAAATTTTTTGGAGTTGAAATATTTTTACAGAGATTAAGCATGGAATGCCTTGTTGTTTAATTGGTGCTTTTTTCTCACACTGGCCAGTATTGGATAGATAAAAGACATGAATGCAATTTTTTTTTTTTTTTTTGACAAATGTAAGAGTTGATTAGGGTTAGAAGTCAAAGGTCATTTGGTGCATTTAGCCTTTACTTTTCACTGTTGTCAACTCTTCCTTATTGTTTCCCAACTCTGGGAGTAGTTCATTAGATTCACATTATACATATAACTTTGTTCCAATTTTACTGATTCGTTTTAACCTGGTACTGGAGGCAAGGTCAGCCGGTAAACTTTGACCTTGTGTTCAAATGAACTTGACCTTGAAATTTTAAAATGAAAACGAGGCTGACCTTGACCTCCTCAAAAGGTTCACAGCTCAGGAAGTTCCTGTAATTATTATTGTTTTTGTCATCTAGATTGAACATTCATTCCAATAAACTTAGCATTTGTGATTTGAATCCATGTTTTGATTATTCTTCAAAGGTATTTCAATCGACCGTCTTTGTTTTTCTTCCACGAAATCACACTTTTTTTTTAATGTTATTATCAAACCCCTTAAATTAAAAAGAGCAACATGCCTCAAATTAAAAAGAAACGTTTCTTCTTTAAATGCAGCATTTGCTGAATTGGGGGGGGGGGCAGTCTGAGACAACTGTTAAATCACGGAAAGTCGGGTGTAGCGCAGTCCCAGTCTCGGCACCGAAACCATATCCCTGTTGTCTCTCGATTCTAACTATCCATAGACTACTGAAATTTAACGATAAAACACTTAAACAATACAGTTGACAAATCGGGGGCGTCTCGATAGTCCGAAGGTTCATTGGTCCGAAAAGTGGTAACATTTTTATCGATTTTTTAATCAGGGGTTCATTGGTCCGAAGGTTCTATAGTGAACATTCGGACCAATGAACCTTCGGACTATTGAACCTTCGGACTATCGCTACGGCCCCGACAAATCTTGCGACCCTCCGTGCTGAAACATACGCGTAGTTGTAAAGTTGGTGACATCTATGCTATGAACTGTAAATGCGATTCCGTTTCTATGTCTTATAAAAGCTGCAACACGACTTGGTTTTCCAAGTGCTGGCCTCTAAAACGCCAAAACTTACAACAAAATCATCGATATTTTCTCCTGAAATATGCAGGGAGACGTCTGGCCAGTCATTCAGCAATAAATGATTCAGTAGAAAATTTTATAGAACGTCCATGGCCAATTTAAGTGCAGGCGCGGATCTAGCATTGGTTTGTGAGTTGAAAGTTTTGCTTTTTCTCGAGGAAAATTGAAACTGGTTCAAAAATCCCGGACAGGATATTATTTAGCACCCTAAAATTGGTCTTAACTTTAAGTTTAAAACATCAGTCTACTTTGACTAAAGACAAAGCAGCAGTACTCCGAAGTATTCCAATTAAATAAAATAGAGTACTGGAGTGTTTTGATTTTTAGTATAGAATTTGCTGTTCAAGAAAAAAAATCTATACTTGTAAATTAAATTAAATGAAAACCGTAAGGGTAGTGTAACAGACAACAATTAACAAACTTTTGAAACTTTTGTAAACGAAAGAGAGGTTAATGTTTTAAAAAACTAAATATCATTTATTGTTACATTATTTACGGTGATATGTTTGCTCAATATGCAGAGTGAAAGATAAATTGGGTGAAAGTCGCATTTTGTCTTCTCTAACACATTCCTGCACCAGCAATTTATTTCATTGTGTTCTTTTACTCGGTCTATGAATTTGATTTTTAAATCGGATCACTGATAAAATATGATAGTTTTTGCCTTCATAATTTTCAGAAAACCCAAATTACCATCCACTGAAAATTACCATAATATAAAAAAAAAGACAATTTAACACCGAAACTCGCTCACGGAAAGCGGGTGACCTGTACATTATTACGTAAATCAGGTGAGCATTTTGGTGAGAGGTGTTCAAATAAGACCAAGGTCAGTACAAGATGGAGAAGAGAGGAGCCTCATGCCACGTTGCATCGATTCCCACGTGTAAGGAGAAAATTAGGCGATGAAAACGACAGCAGTCTGTTGTAAGTACTGCATAGATGAAGTAAGATAACATTGCTTACTTTTTGTGGACGTATTTTGCTCAAAATGATGCATTTTGCACTTGTGGACATTCTATTGACCTGATGCTTAGAACGAACAAAAGCACTATAGCTAGTATTGCTCTCGAAGAACAGTACCAGTCCCAAATCATCTTGAACTTAAAATAGTTTATTATCTCTTATTTACCAGAGCAAACGATTTGAAGAAAGTAAGGGGCTTATTCCAAAGATGTAGACGACCCTTTCGTCTCAGGCAGATCTAATTCTAATTTGCCTCCGCAACCTGTTATTCCTAGAAAAAAGCCCCCCCCCCCCCTTCAAATAATCCTGGATCTGTCCCTTACTAGGGCGGCAGATATTATAGGCAGATTTTCCTCTATCCATAGTTATAACATTGACCATATTTAGCCAAAGACATTATCTATGAATATCTAGTGAAAATCGATCTGTGGCCCTGGTAGAGGGTAATGTAATGCCATGTTTACAGATATGGGTTGCCACAATGGTTATATAGACTGCTTTCTCAAACTCTGATATATCGTTTTGTGAATGTGATTTTTTTTCTTTTTTTATTTCAGTGACTGGAAGACAAGGAAATTGGAAGATTCTTCCACTAAAGACGCCAGATTCTTGTTTGACAGCGCCCGCACCCATGCCAAGATTTTCTCGGTTGTCGAAGTTGGTCTTCTGTAGTTAATTTGTACTGTCAACTTTTAATATGGAATGTAATGTTCGCTTTGGGTCGTAATATTTTGAACCAAAACGTGTATTAAATGAAAGTCAAGCATTTCATTCATGAAAATTTTGATCAGAAAAGCAAAAAAAAAAGGGATTTTATCCATCTAAATGCCAGACTCGCATGTCTGTAGTTTATTTTGGCATCGTCTGTTTTATTGAAAATAAAAGTCCGAGTAGGACTGGGTTTTTTTTTTACAACAATTTACATTTCTGACTTGAAAATTTCTGATCAAATTTTAATTTATTACTTCACCGGTTGTAGAGTTTGATTCTTTTTTTAGGGGTTATGAGTATCCCTAATTTATTCAATGAAATTTTTTGGCCGTTAACTTTTGTCAGTCTTGTCTTGATAAAGCGAGAAAAAATTCTTGAAATAGAAAATTTTCAGAAAAGTAAGATGTATTGGGTAATTTTTGTAAAATCTTGATTTATAAAACGAAATGAGATGTTCTTATGGGCATTGATAATGTAAATTATTTATTGTTATATTTGTGCAGGAATTGCGTGAATTTATGAAAAATAAATGTACGTCTATAAAATGTTGTCTTGTTGTAAGCTGTGCAAAATCGTAGTTCTGTCATTTTTCTTAGCCCGACTCGAACCANTTTTTTTTTAATGTTATTATCAAACCCCTTAAATTAAAAAGAGCAACATGCCTCAAATTAAAAAGAAACATTTCTTCTTTAAATAGAGCATTTGCTGAATGGGGGGGGGGGGCAGTCTGAGACGGCTATTAAGTCACGGAAAGTCGGGTGTAGCGCAGTCCCAGTCTCGGCACCGAAACCATATCCCTGTTGTCTCTCGATTCTAACTATCCATAGACTACTGAAATTTAACGATAAAAACACTTAAACAATACAGTTGACAAATCTTTTGACCTTGCGTGCTGAAACATACGCGTAGTTGTAAAGTTGGTGACATATATGCTATGAACTTGAAATGCGATTCCGTTTTTAAAGTCTTATAAAACCCGCAACACGACTTGGTTTTCCAATTGCTGGCCTCTAAAACGCCAAAACTTACAACAAAATCATCGATATTTTCTCCTGAAATATGCAGGAAGACGTCTGTCCAGTCATTCAGCAATAAATGATTCAGTAGAAAATTTTATAGAACGTCCATGGCCAATTTAAGTGCAGGCGCGGATCTAGCATTGGTTTGTGAGTTGAAAGTTTTGCTTTTTCTCGAGGAAAATTGAAACTGGTTCAAAAATCCCGGATAGGATATTATTTAGCACCCTAAAATTGGTCTTAACTTTAAGTTTAAAACATCAGTCTACTTTGACTAAAGACAAAGCAGCAGTACTCCGAAGTATTCCAATTAAATAAAATAGAGTACTGGAGTGTTTTGATTTTTAGTATAGAATTTGCTGTTCAAGAAAAAAAATCTATACTTGTAAATTAAATTAAATGAAAACCGTAAGGGTAGTGTAACAGACAACAATTAACAAACTTTTGAAACTTTTGTAAACGAAAGAGAGGTTAATGTTTTAAAAAACTAAATATCATTTATTGTTACATTATTTACGGTGATGTTTGCTCAATATGCAGAGTGAAAGATAAATTGGGTGAAAGTCGCATTTTGTCTTCTCTAACACATTTCTGCACCAGCAATTTTTTTCATTGTGTTCTTTTACTCGGGTCTATGAATTTGATTTTTAAATCGGATCGCTGATAAAATATGATAGTTTTTGCCTTCATAATTTTCAGAAAACCCAAATTACCATCCACTGAAAATTATCATAATATAAAAAAAGACAATTTAACACCGAAACTCGCTCACGGAAAGCGGGTGACCTGTACTTTATTACGTAAATCAGGTGAGCATTTTGGTGAGAGGTGTTCAAATAAGACCAAGGTCAGTACAAGATGGAGAAGAGAGGAGCCTCATGCCACGTTGCATCGATTCCCACGTGTAAGGAGAAAAATTAGGCGATGAAAACGGCATCAGTCTGTTGTAAGTACTGCATAGATGAAGTAGATAACATTGCTTACTTTTTGTGGACGTATTTTGCTCAAAATGATGCATTTTGCACTTGTGGACATTCTATTGACCTGATGCTTAGAACGAACAAAAGCACTATAGCTAGTATTGCTCTCGAAGAACAGTACCAGTCCCAAATCATCTTGAACTTAAAATAGTTTATTATCTCTTATTTACCAGAGCAAACGATTTGAAGAAAGTAAGAGTCTTATTCCAAAGATGTAGACGACCCTTTCGTATCAGGCAGATCTAATTCTAATTTGCCTCCGCAACCTGTTATTCCTAGAAAAAAGCCCCCCCCCCCCCCCTCCTTCAAATAATCCTGGATCTGTCCCTTACTAGGGCGGCAGATATTATAGGCAGATTTTCCTCTATCCACAGTTATAACAATGACCATATTTAGCCAAAGACATTATCTATGAATATCTAGTGAAAATCGATCTGTGGCCCTGGTAGAGGGTAATGTAATGCCATGTTTACCGATATGGGTTGCCACAATGGTTATATAGACTGCTTTCTCAAACTCTGATATATCGTTTTGTGAATGTGATTTTTTTCTTTTTTTATTTCAGTGACTGGAAGACAAGGAAATTGGAAGATTCTTCCACTAAAGACGCCAGATTCTTGTTTGACAGCGCCCGCACCCATGCCAAGATTTTCTCGGTTGTCGAAGTT